AGTGAATTTAAGCTAAACACAATAGCAATGTAATGATCATTCGTTATAAATATCGATTTTATTAATATATTGTGAGTATTCAAGGGGAACTACGTAACTGGAATCACTCCTATAACTCCGTAAATAAGAATTGTAGTGAAAATTGATTTAGGTGTATGCTACAAGATTCGAAAGGAGCTACATAAAGCGCTATTCGGTTATTTCATCACTTGTGTCCTTCAAAATTTCAGTGCCCTCTTCAGTCTTGCAAATGGAAATTACTATTTTTTATTACGAAAATCGCGTACATTTAAATATATTAGGCAGTGCAATATTCAGACGATTTTTAAGCAAAGACCAATCAATACACAGAAGCTCAACTGGTACTGTAGGTAAATTGTTTACCTAACCTTGTAAAATAGAAAACAAGAGATAAATGAAATAATTTTCGCGAAAATCATTATTTATGGAGTTGTTGAAGTGATTCTAGTTATTTGCCACTCCTTGCATATACAGGGTGTCTCAAATCGTAAAACATCTGCAAACCGAGTATCTTGGATTGTGGCTTACATTTACACGAATATAGTTCTTTGCAAGTTACAATTCAACAGATACAAACAGTTCATGAAGTTAGTAATATTTATAAACGAGCAAACAGAAGTGGTTCATGGCGAAATTTAATTTCATTCGAATTCAATTTTTCCGTAAATGAAGTCTCAAACGAAAAAAATTTGATTCTACGTTTTCATTTTACTTCTTTCCTTCTTATTTTCTAGTCTGCGGAGCACGTTGTATATTTTTTTAAAACATATTTGAAATTGGATATTAAGAAGAATTTATACAAATCGATTTATTACATCAGAATTACTATTCTTTTTAAAATTTAGTTTTTACCAGTTGCAGTAATTCAATAATGTATAATTAGAATACACAATTACGTTGTCACGATTACCTTAAAAAAAATTATAATTATTTTTCAAAATAGTTTGACGAGATTAATAGAAAATCATTGAAAAATAATTCGACGAACTTTAAGCAACACGTTTAAAATTAAGTTAAAAAGTAATTGAAATTAGAATTGGTGTAATATTACATACATATACAATATTATAGCAAAGTAATAATACAATTGAAATAAATCAAATAAGAAATAATATTTATAAATGATATGTTTTATGGGTAATGAGGCTGAATAAAGGATATAAAGTTATCTTTTATTGCTTCCGTTTAGAAACTTATGTGAAATTCAAATTTTAATTATAAAATAGAAATCATTATCTAGCGGTTTTCACTATGAACTCTAAATCTCTGTTTAGGTCTGGGTAGATGCCGCGACGCAGGTGTTTTTCTCTCTTGGTCCAGGATTTGGGGTGCTTCTAGCTTATGCGAGTTATAATAAATATCACAATAACGTTTACAAGTAAGAAATACAATTATAAAATTTATACAAATTGAACAAATAAGAAATACAATTGTAAAATTACACATTTTCTTTTTAAAATTGTATCAGTAAATTTTATTAGTAACAATTACTGACGAATCATAAGTATCAGATTTATTTTCATTTTATTTTTGTTTTATTATTTTTTATATTCAAAAGAAAATAGTTTTACAGAAAATTGTTACAATATCTAACAATAAACAGTATATTCTTTAATAATTATTATTAGTTAGCTTCTATCAATTTATACGTACATATATATTTTTTATTGATATGAGTAAAATGGCAATCATATTCTAATAATTTTGTATTGGTCATAGCACGAATATTGTACTATTTTGATATAATTCTGAACACTGTATGTTAAATA